CACAGGGCTATTTTTATCTCTATGGTTCAGTATTTTCTCAAGTAGCAACTTTAACTGCTTTACTTTTCTGTCTTAAAAGGCAGACCTCTTCTAGTCTAAAAATCCCCCGCTCTTAGGGGCTTTTAAAAACAAAAATGTCTTTTTTTGCGCTTTAAGAAACAAAGTAGCCTATATTTTGTGGATGTACAGCTACATTTCTCATGTAAGTTTGCGCAGTTTTAACACAAACATTTATTTTTCATATTGCACCAGTACAGTTAATGAGCAACCTGTACTTGTGTGCTTGTTTGTTCTGTCTAAAATGTTTATTTTGGAATAAAGAGGTTAATATAAAAAATATTTTTTGTCCGATTCATCGATTAATCGGAAAAATAATCGGCCGATTCATCGATTTTTAAAATAATCGTTAGTTGCAGCCCTAATAATTACACCTTGCAGCTATATTTGCTGTGATCAGTGGGAATAAAGTAGTTTTAATATGTTTTTAAGTGAGAAAATCCACCTAAAAAACTTCATCATTGCAGTCAGTTCATCCAGATTATCATCCTGCCTTCTAATATTATTTCTATCAGAGGCGCTCAGACCCTGTCGCAATAGGAACGTCTCACGGCCAGCTCCCAGGTTTGATAAATACTTGAATAAAGCACAATCATACTCAGTTTTGCTCCTGCTCTATTTTTAAATACGCAGTAGAGGTATTTAAACGTAGTAGAGGACATGTACCTGTATATAAAACCCGTGCCCTATAGTCCGGTGCGCCTTATGTGTGTGTTAAATACAGTAATGGCACACATAACTGAGACTGCGCCTTTTAGTAGGGTGCGCCTTATGGTCGTGAAAATACGGTAAAAATGGTCACACAAATATGGACCTTAAAAAAAATTTATAAGAATAACATAATAGTGAAGAGTTAAAATATAAACAATAAAATACTGTACTGTAAAGTGTTATAACAATATAAAACTGTGCACCTGGAGATTAAATAACCAATATATAGCAATGGACATTTCTACAGTAATGGATATTTGAAAAAAAGGCAGCAACATCAGAGATGTGCAAAATGACAGCAGCATGTTATTTATCTGACTAAGATTGAAACTGTGCAAAATCAGCATGAGTGAAAAAAACTTATTGAGGTTGTTGAGAACATTTGAGGTTATAGAGTCTTAGAGCTAAATAGTGTGTTTACCTTCAGAAAATATATTATACAGGACCGAGCATATTTAAAATAATTTCTACAAACTATTTACTTACAGTACACACAAATACTGTATACTTACAGTATTAAACAAACCTACAGATAAATAATTGAATAATTCAAAATGAACATAATCTCAAAATAAAAACACCATGAAAGTTAAGAGAGAGGAGCATGATGCTGAGAACAATCAGCTCCACTGTCCAATCAGAAAACAAACGCCACAGTAGAGATGGACGGAGGAGGACTTACTTCTTCAGGATGTCTTGTTTCTTCTGCTCTTCAGATGTGGGCAGCCCCATAGATTTCTGCCTCTGGTCGTACATCATCTTCTCCACCATTCCACGCGTCTCTCCATCCAGGTCTGACAGCTGCACAGCAGGAAACACACGGGTGAGGAGATAACGTCATTATTCATCCATAAACTTGAACCTTGAGCTCCATTGCTTTACCTTGGAGTTTTCAGGGCAGACTTTCTTGGTGTTTATTTCTGGATCTGTGGTAACAATCCTGCTCCACCACTCCATTTTATTTATCTGAGGAATCAGAAAAGACGATCAAAAACGAGGCGTTCAGAACCGTAAAGGCAGAGGACACAGAAGTTCCCAGACTCTCTCACCTTCTCTAGGTGGACAGTAACCACTTTGCCGTCGTCGATGAGCCAGGAGCTCTCCTCCACCTTCACCTCATTGTAAAGCTGACCTTCTATGACGGGAGGATGACCCTTCAGACCGACCTTGATGGAGCGACGCTGGATGTCCACCACTACGTCTCTGCCCTTGATACGGAACTTTACATCAAAAGGCACAGCGATCTACGGCAAGAGGAAAAAAAAGCCATTTTATCATTGGACTCACAGAAGCATCTATTTGATTTAGGGTTTTTTTCTTCCTGTGGAGGAGAAGAGGGCAACTTTCACAATCCAAATAGCCAGTTTAACCCTGAGTCCAGTAAAATCAAATAAAAAACGCTATACGAGTTTCAGGATAAAGGACATCACTGTTGAAAAATATCTACAAAAGAAAATGTGTATTTTATTTAGCTTTTATGTTTGAAAAAAAGGTCAGATTCTGCTATAGGATGTTATTTGAGTAAAATGGTGCAATAAAGGACAGTGTTAAAGAGAAATAGATTTAAAAAAAAAACAGATCTGCTGACTGACCAGCTAACATGATTTCCTTCATTTTAGGAGGTCTATGAAACTTCTCACTCATTGATGTCTAAACTCTACCAAGATCTATTAGTCAGCCTTTCCTGCTGCCCTAAACTTCTCATTGATATTTGATGTGACTATAATGTCCCTTTCAAGCAAGCTTTTAGTGTTTCCCCGCTATCACTTCAAAAAGGAAATGCAGTGGTTGCCTTCAGGGTTGCTAAGGAAAATCCATTTCAATTACTTAGTTGCATGATCCAACACTTTTGGCAAAAAGCGCCAAAGCACCCTGCAAAACAGTGTGCTTAAGTCCTTGGAGATCGCAATACTGTAAGCTAATACTGCAAATCTATATAAAGCGAGCAGTGCTAAGCCAAGAACTTTAACATCTCATGAATCCCTCTCGAGACGATCAACTGAGACTGGAAAGATTATGGTTCAAGTGTCTGTCACCCTGAACTGAAAGGCCGACCAAAGTATGCTGATCGCTGGAGGCTTTTATTTTGAAGGGGTGAACTGATCCAGAGCTCTGAGAAGATAAGGCGTCAACAAGGAACCCCCTTTAGATAATTGGTAGAAGAAAACCTTTAATGGTAAGAACCAGAGACATTATATACGTAGATGACTCATTGGACGCCGTCGGAAGCGAGGCCGACGTGCCTAGAGGGCGGCCATCTTGGATCAGACCACAGTTCAGACAGCTGCTGTCAGAATGAATAGGAGGTGCCTTAGATCTCGTTTTAATCACATGAAAGATGAGTTAGAGATAATATTACAATAATTTCTTACATCTCACAACATTTAAAGACCAAAACAAACTCTAAAGTTATCTTTACGTTAGAATACACATACTTATTCGGATTAAAACGATTTAAACTGAAATCAAACTGGATGAAATATATGCAAAATTATATATTTTGCAAATAAATATAACAATTAACATTAAGTTTCATATTATATATTAATATTATTATTATTTAGTATTTTAAAGAACTGCTCTTTGATAATTAGTATTATGTTCTATGGTCGTCTGTTCCTGTTTGGCTGTGACTCCGTCCTTGGGAGAAACATCAGCTGTACTGCTGCCATCAACACCTTTGTTTATAGATGTTGGAGATCGGCCTGTTTTCCAGTGTAGTCCTGTTTCTCTGACTGTGACCTGCTGGATGTGCTCTCTTCATCCTCTGACATGGGAGTCTGCTCGGAGCTCGCCTGCCTGGCTGTGTTTTTGTATCTCTGCTTCTGTCTCCTTGAACCCCAGTCAGCCTCAGCAGATGACC